ATCAATATTTACTAACATTTTTATTGTTTTTGGTCGGCAGAAAGCGTAGCCTGATTCGCCAGACAAAAACGACCAAATCGTTAACCCTATCCCAGACTAAAATGATACCCTATCCCAGACAAAATGTCAAAAAATGATACCCTACCCCAGACCCAAAAGCCGAAAAACCATACCCTATAGGGCGGCACATACCCGTATAGCAAATATAGAGGAGTACCCCTATTCATTTCATTCTAGATTCCAGCAACGTATTCACATGGGTGGATGGATCTGCATTGTCTGGTCAATACTCGAACTGGGCATCAGGCGAGCCTAACCGAAAGGCTGAAGATTGTGGGATGATGTACTTAAGCAGTATGAAATGGAATGACGCGACATGCGTTAATGCGCATTCGATGCTTTACGTATGCGAAAAAGAAAAGCCATATTGATTCATTGTTGACCCACTTCTTTGTAACTTTCTGGTAATGAAAAAGATACATGATAATGAAATTTCAGATTTTTTTACGAAGTAAATTTCAGAGGAAACGCGTGTTGTTTTTCTTTTTCCTTGAATATTAAAGATACTTTAAAGCAATCAAGATACCATTAAATGTTTTATGGGGTAAGGATAGAAACAAAAACGTTTGCTATATTTTTTACAAAATTCAAGCACATCATTAGTTTAAATTGATCACGTGATTTCCCTCTACCTGGTGACATCAACCTTATGAAGCGCATTATTCTGAGAAAAAGTCCAGATCTTGGATATATTTTTTWAATACCTTTTTAAGAAGAGAACCCGGAGAAAAACCTTTATGACAAGTGTGAGAAAAACACACCATTGATTTTTCAAAGACCTTTAGATTTARATTTTATCGGATCCTGAAACAACCGCGTCTGGGAGGATCAAAGTTAGGGGATGGCTAAATCACAACCGATTGAATTGGATTTTAACTTGCATGTTAGGTTTTGCGAAGCGAAAAAAAAAAAAGAAAAAAAGAGGAAAACTTGGAGAAACGTCATTGAATCAAGGGAGAGACCTAACAAACTCTACTCACATGTGATGCCGAGCGAGTACAAGAATTTTAATCTGAGACCCCAGAGGTGAGAGGTTCGTGCGACATCGCTACACCACCTTCATTACTTCGACCACCACTACCCCTCCCTCCTTGGGATCGCCGCCTGCTTGCAAGGTAATATCTAAATAGATTGCTGAAAACTAAAACCGCAGTTTTGCTGTCTCATTAGCTATTGACCTTAAACAGATGAAAACACTGTCTTCTCGAGGCCTGTCTGTTTGAAGAATAATCGTCTGTTCATCTTCCTTGTTATCTGCGAACGTCTTTGGCATTACTTCCCATTACAAGAACAAGTCGATTTACTTTTTARTCTCGAACGACTCAAGCCAACGATGTCTAAACTTGCTTTCCTCCATTTGGTTATCTTTCTACAATCAGCTCTTACTTCAGCCACGTACCGTAAGTAAGCTCAAATACTCATACAAAACTTGCCTAATTTGCTATCTGTTATATTATATGAGTCAAAACTGGTCAAATCAAATGTGATTTAACAGGGGAATATCATAGAGTGGCTCTTCGTCCACTCGATTGAAATAGAATTCCTYTTAAGATTTTGTGGACGAAGGAAAACAGGAGAACTCGGAGAAAATTCTTCGTTCGAGGCACGTACGGGACACTAATGAAAAAGCAACTCTGCTCACATACGAGTTCATGAATCCAACCTGGGTTGCAGAAGTAAGCAGCAAGCGATTCCCTCCAGAWAGCTTTATATTATAGTATTTACTTATATTTCGTTTTCTTTTTGTTTGTTTTTTAGCTTCTTTTTTTTTTTTCCCCCACGGTGCTTTTATATTGTACTCTTCTCTAATGTTTTAGTTTTTCTGCCTTTATTTAACAATTATTCGCCCAAGGCGAAGCTAGTGAGACTCGCTGCTCGGTAAATATTCACCATAGTCACTGAGCCAGAGGGGAATCACAGCTCGAGAAACGCAATTCAAATTCAAATCTTAAATTAATATAATTTATTAATTCAAATCACAAATTCGATTAAGTGGGCGAGGGACATAATAAGTATCTATGGAATTAAATATTTATTTTCTGTTATCACGCACGTGTGCCCATCCTCAGTTTGCGAGGTTTCCTAAGACTTCGCATTGTAAATATCAGGTTGAAGCTCACYGCGTTTTGATTKTAGTTTCTTGTCCACCSGGTTGGGCTACTTACAAGGAATCGAGCTACTGTTATCGTGTGGGCAACACGCCAACGACCAAATGGAAGACAGCAAGAAAAGCGTGTTTRTCCATGGGAGGTGACTTGGTGAAGATAAGGTCAGCCCAAGAAAACAGATACGTGGCCCTTCTTGCTCGTACTTACTCAAGTAGTGGCTCCATGTGGCTTGGGCTTGTTGGAGGTACAGTAAATGTTGATTAGGATAAATAATGCATAAGCTGGTTGGTTGGTTGGTTGGTAAATCAAGGTCATCTSAAGTTCACTTTGTTTTTCTAGATTCCAGCAACGTATTTACATGGGTTGATGGATCTGCATTGTCTGTTCAATACTCGAATTGGATATCAGGCGAGCCCAACAACTACGAAGGACAGGCTGAAGATTGTGKAGTTATGAGCTTAAGCAGTATGGGATGGAATGACGTGATATGCATYAATAATTCGTTGATTTACGTGTGCGAAAAAGAAAAGCTATATTGATTCATTCATGGCCCACTTATTTGCAACTTTCTTGTAATAAAAAGGATGGCATTACGATTTTTGTTTTGTTTTGTTTTGCGAAGTAAATTTTAGGGGAAATTTGTGTCGTTTTACCTTTTTCCTTGAATATTAAGAGACTCGACAAGGAACCATTTACTGTTTTATGGGGTGGGGAACAAACAAATGTGAGTGAATAATGAGAGCGTTCCCAAGCAATTTCGATCAATGACCCCAATGGACATATTTACCTTGGGCGTAATGTTTTCCCATTCAAGACCACTTTTCATTCCCTAGAGTATCATTTCTTTGTTTAACAATAGCGCATGAGAAGACACAAATATATACGGATACAAACCAAACCCAAWTTTTTCATTCGTGTTAAAAAGCATTATAATTAATATTACTTTTAAAAAGATTTTCATCTGCATTATAAAAAGAGTGATTGTAGATAGTTAAACGAATAATGTTGATCATGATTGACAGGGCAAAATCATAGACAATGGATTGAGATTGTGAGTCATTTTCCAGGTTGACCAGTGCTAAGATTCAACCCAACGTCCAGAAGTCTGGTACCCAAGAAATGGTGCCTGCAAACAAGCACGAATAGCTTCTCATTGAGTGCCCCACATGATCAGCGTAAATTGCCAGACCTATGATGCTCTGAAGGGTCCCTACAAGGCATATTTATGTGTCTTCTCATAGTGTGCAACCGTTAAACATTCATTCTAGGAAATGACACGTGGTCTGAAATGGGATAACATTTTCCCGAACCGAAGAGGGCTATTTCAGAAGACCAACACATAATTCATACCGGAAATGACGAGGGATGTCCCTTTTTTACTACTTCCCGCCCGTTGACCTCTCTCTCTAAAGAGACGAGTTTCCTGTCAAGATTCCTAGTCTATAACATGAACTTAGAAGTTCAGTTAAAGTACGCCTTCTACAAGAAGGTGCAGCTAGAGTAAAATTTGACTTTACAATCAGGAATYKAACAACACGAAGATGTATAAGATAACTGTGCTTTTGGTGGTGGTAGGTCTTTCGGTGAATCTATGTTCAACGGACACACGTTTGCGCATGCGTGCACTTCAGCACGTTTTCTAAGAATTT